GGCCGCTTCTGTTTTGAAAGAGTGTGGGGAAATAGGATAATAGGTGTTAACTACTCACGCAGACTGGCATAGATGGGCGCTGACTGTCAGCGGCTGCGTTCGCGTCCGTTCGTTCGCTTTGAAGCGCTGTCGCCCGACGCGCCTTACAGCGTGTCGGCGCGTCATCGCGAAGTCTGAACGCTGCATTGGTATACTCGTTCAAAATCACCGATTGTGCGGGAAAAGTGTAGAATTGGGCCGTTTACGATCAAAGTTGTAGCCATAATAGATCAGACCGCGCTCCGGTATTTAACGGCTTTGCTCGCCCATTTGTCCCTTGTGATCATTCCGAAGCGCCATAATTTAGATAGATGATTCGATATCCTTATTTACCTATAAATAATCATTTTTAGCGACTGGCAAGTTTGCAAGATCGTTTTCGATCATGGGCAAGAAGAAGCCGATCGATGAAGACGTTGCGCAACTGGTGGAAGCATGTCGGAGGTATCAGGTAGGAGGATTTTAACACTCGTCTGAAACGTAATGAAAGTTTGCTTACCTCGGTCGCTTACTGCGACCCTGACATCTCCTCGTTTCCAGGACGAAAAGATCAGTGCAACAGCGGCGAATTTGCTCCTCGAAGAGCAGGAAGACGAGGTTGGCACGATGCTGGCAGATTCGATCGGCAACTCGGTACGGACAGTGCTTTCGACGGTAGCGGGAGGTGTGCGGCCGACGGCTGCTAAACCACCACCACCTCAACCAAAACGGCTCACCCTTTCGCCGTCCTTTATTGAAGTGGTGGTGAAACCGCCGCCGTCGTCACCGCCTCCTCAACAACCGTTTGTGCCAAAACCGCCACGTGCACGACCTCGCGTGGAACGGGATCGCAAGACTTCCACCATTGAGGAGGACGGGTTCGAAGAGGTTCGTTTAGGTTCATGATTTTTTTCCTTGTTGTCGTCACATTGATATTCTATCGATCCATACTTTCAAACAGCTAAGATTGAGCCAGAAATGCATACTGTTCACTCTCCTCTGTGGATCCTGGTCCTTGCCTTTAGCTGGGGAGAATGGGTCCGCAGCTGCAGTACCCTGTCACCTTCCCCGGTCAGAAATACACGGGCACGGGGATGGAGGGCAGTGACAGCCAGGTGTCATCTTCCCAGTACACCCACGCTGCCGCAGGGCTAGCCGCACGCCCAACCATACCCAAACCAGCCAGCCACCAACTTGTCTGCGCTCTCCCTTTTCACCCACGGGCACTCTCTCTCCTGGCGGATTTTTAGGTTCGAGTCTCGGTACGAACACCCCCCTTTTGTTATGCGTTGTTGTTGGTACGCCCCTTCCCCCCCCCAGGGGCGCGCGACTCTACTGTTCCATCGTCATTCAAATCGCAAGCCGTCGGGTCGGCCGCCTCTTCGAGCAGCATAATCTGGGCGGCGGGAGAAGAAAACAGGTTCGACGGGGGGGTATTTTTCAAAATTCCAGGGCCGAGGTGTCGACGGAATGTAGTACCCAGTAAACAGAGAGAATATCATTTCCCTAAAGTCAGCGTGACAAGTGAGCTTCTACAACGCCAAAACCTAAATACGACCCCTCCACAATTGACAGAAAGTATCGGAACACCCCGTTCTTATACAACGTCCGTTGGAAGCAAGAAAATCAACTACAAAATAAATTTTCCCCAGCCAACCACGCCCCCCCCCTCTGCAGTCGTTGTTGCCGGGAATTCCCTATTGGGGGATTTACACACGAGTTTGCACTGAGTGAGCCCTGTCGGGATGTTGTTCTTCTACGATAGTGGATTTCCTGCTGTACGAGAACATTTTTGCCCTCCTTGTTGGTAGGGTTCCTCCCTGATACCAGTGCCAGTCAAAGAGGAGGAACGCATTTTGGTATTGTCAATAAGATACATTAGCCATTTCTGACAAGGCGGCTCCGACAATGTGCCCTTGAAGAATGAGGGAGAAATCCATGATTATTGTTAGTCGGTGCCTGGTAAGAAAAGGGATGGGGGGGAGTGTGAATAGCCCATAGTCCAGCCTATATGGCTTCCACCTTTTTTAAATGCTCTCCTCGATCTCGCCAACTCTCAGCAATTGTAGCAAATGGACAAGCCGTATATTCACCTCGAGGATGGCCCTTCCCTTGCGCTTGAGTTCGCAACTGTTGGCCGGTCCGTTTCAATATTTTCACCTGCCAATTATTTTTACGAGGACAGGGCACATGAGCTGATCTTTTTTTACAAAGGCGGGAGTGCGAAGTTTATCCGTATTGGCCACTTCCTCCACCACCCTCTTCTTTCACTATTAAATATGTCCGAATGCTGATGTGACATTTCAACGTGTTGAGATCGCGGCGGCAGCTAGGGTAAATAACAAAGGTTCCCCCGCAAAAGCGTTACAGGCAATTTCAGTCAGCCTTTTGGTAGAACAAGTTGAAGAAGGGCTCGACAATGGGAGCCTGTTCGCTCTAATGTCTTATAGGTAAAATTAACGGACTGGTGGCAGGCATGTGCGGATGATCGTGCGGCAATGCAGGCGGAGTATAAAGACGACACCTAGGTACCACAACTACAGCCCCATTTTCCGAAAATATCTGAGCGAAGGAAGAGGCGCGCTAGGGCAGCTGTGACCCGCCGCCCACACATGACAAGGACCATTATCTAGGACGGTGAGTGGACAATTTTCCTTCGAGCCTGTGATAAGGACGACCGAAACCGTAGAGGATCGAGCTAATGCGTTAGTTTCAATCAATTCTTTTTGAGAAACGCGAAGCACTCGGTGCCAGCCAAAGCAGAGCCCAGACGGATGAGGATTTCGTAGGGTAGGCCGAGGGGAATTAGTGGAGGTCGTATTTCAGTCCCTTTATGGGGGGGGGGCGGTCGTTTTTTGAGAGAATCTCTCTCACCACGGTGAAGTGTCCTAAGGTAAGCTGAAGTCAGTTCTTTTCATTTTGACTGTTCTCAAGTCGACGAAGAGTCGATCGATTCCGCCGGGACGGATCGCCCGATCAGACGTGTGAGTGGGATTCGATCCAGGTTTTGATCTACGAGCCATGTGGCGAACATGTGGGAAGCCGGTGCCACTTTCCCCACTCTACACTCAAATCAGTCTACAAAATAATTTTTCTGGAAGAATGGATCGATCAACGTAGCGATATCGTTTCAGTTTCGTCTCTTTCCTTTATGCAATATTCTTAGTTTTACTCTTACCTTTCTCTTGGTTCAGTCTGCTATCTGTTCACTGTCGTTCTATTTTTTCATGGAAATAATTAATTTTTCAGATATACTATATCGTATATTGTAATCCTATTGCAGTGTGTCGCGCATTCTTCGAAACCGTGGCCTTCGGAGAAGTGTGATAACATTTTCGGAACGCTTTGTTTGGTCGCACAAAATAACCCTCTTAGAGTGAACGGCGTGATACAACCTCGAAGTTGCACAGTCCACGCCGACCGTGTAGGCGGAGTCAGGCTTATCCTATAACGATTGGCGTGCCCCTCCTTTTTGTCTTATCGAAGAGAAGACGCACATAAACAATGAAGGACCATTGGTAGGTCTGACTCCGCCCATACAATCAGTGTGGATTGTACATTTGCTGGGAAAATGGGAGAATAAAACTACTTCAAGTTGTGACACGCTTCACCTGCACTAACTCCATGCTTGGATGTGTCACACCATTGAAACCCTGTCGCGAGCCATTCCATTCAACCAGCTGACCTGTTGAGTGAGCAAAAGTTCCTAGATAACGCAAACGACTGGCGCCCCCCCCCCCAAGCGGCTCTGCTTCATAACTCCCAGTAGAGTCTCCCTCATCGCCTGAGGTGATCACCTGTGAATCCCTCGAAGTCGCTCAGTTCAGCGGTGCAAGCGATGCTGCAATGGAGTCGCGTGCGCTGCATTTACACCAGAGCCCGACTAATTTGACGCGATGGTGCTGAAGAGGCAGAGTCAACTAGTCAGGAAATGCGTTGCGCGTTAGGCTGCATTCATACTTCGCTTCACCAGCGAGCCGCGCTACTGCGACTAGCCGCACTCCAAAGTTAATCGCTGGACCGCATTGACGGTCGAAAGAAGCCCTATTCCAAACGTAATTTAATTACCAGTGAAAGCTTCCCAACGATTAGCGCCACTCCCAAATCGGTCGACTTGAAGTATGGACGGTGTCTTAAAGGCACAGTTCGCGACCGCAAATTGCGGGAAACGGAACTCAAATAGGCACAAAAAAGTGCTAAGTATCTGATTAGCGGAGAAAAGCAGCAGAAAAAGCAGTCCGAAATGTTATAGAGAAAGATAACATAGTGGCTACTAGCTAGTAGCTAGCAGCCGGTGAGGGTCGGC